TCATAGTACAGCTAGATGTTTACTTGTTCCTACCAGGTATGTAATTTATAAAAGGCTTGCGCTTTTCTTTTTTCTTTTTGTGAAGCTTGGCTCTAGTGCCAAGTTAGGTGCCCCTAACTTTTTTTATTAGATGGATGAACACAAAAGTTAGATGCACCCAAATTTTCAACTATGTCGCATTTAATATCACACTTTCACAGGTTCACTTTTTTTAAATCACTGTCCATTAAGGCAATATTAACTCACAAAGAGTTAGTTAATAACCTAGTAAGCATGAATTTTTTTATTTGAATCAGAATTGTACAAGATTTGCTTTAGGTATCAAAGTCTCGGGAGCAAAGTGCAGGAGGAGAGGTACGCTCACTCAGGGCTCACTGGTTCTTTAACCTGCGTACGTCTCTGCTGCACCTGTCCTCACTGAAAGACCCGCCTTGCTCTGCTCTGATTGGATAAAATTATGGCTCTGGGGTTGGTTTGTTTTGTTAAAAGCAGTGTTCATTTAATCCTGTATCATTTGACTGGGGGATCGCAACAGAAAACAACACCCCCTGTTTTTATAGATGGCTGAAATCCAATGTGGCAACAGAGAAGTTTAATCCCCAAGACGTGGATTTTTTATTTTTGTCGGCGACATCCCCGGCCCCTGCCCTCCTCGAATGACTGATGCAAGCAGAAATCTTTTCTAGTTGCACTATTAAGAAATCAGGTTGCACTTGCGACCAAATTGGTCACACTCTAGAGCCGTGCTGTTTGATTTGAATCTTTCCTGATATGAAACATATTTTTAACCCGTTCAAATTTTTTCTGCTATTCAGAAATTTCAACCCGTGTGAAATTTTCCTGACGTGTTTTTCTACACTTTTCTTTTGTTAGAGTTGAAGAAAGTTCACATTGAGGTTAAAGAAGAGACAGCTGCTCCTCCTCAGCCAGCAGCCAGTGAGGAGGAGGAGGAGGAGGAGGAAGATGAGGAGGAGGAGGAGGAAGAGGAGGAGGAGGAGGAGGATGAGGATAAGGAAAGCGAGGAAGACGGTGAGGTAGAGAAAGTGTCGGCACATGCAGGTTTGAGGAAGAGGAGAGAGGTTAGTGAAGACGAAAGCAGCGAGAGCGAGGAGGAAGATGGAAGGACGAAGGAGGAGCAAGTGTATGACCGAGCCAAGAGGAGGATCGAGGTGAGGCACTGAAGGAGGAGGAGGGAGAACTTGTGGCTGCCTCGCCCGTCTCTAACTGACAAAATGTTTTGTGTTTCTAAAGAAACGCAGAACGGAGAACTTAAAGAACATCAACTTGGAGCAGCTGAGAGCTCCAGTGGTGTGTGTGCTGGGACACGTCGACACAGGAAAGACCAAGATCCTCGACAAGGTAACTGACTGGCTAGTTACTGTCTGCTCACCAGCTGGTTACTGACTGTGCACTGGCTGGTGGTTTACTGTGGATCAAACGTTTACTTGCTGTTAATCGGCTAATATGGAGTCTTGACTATAGTTTTACGTGCTGGTTACCAGCTATTTGCTGGCAGTTATTTGGGGAGTAAAGCTTTGTGTAACAGCTGATTCGCATGAGTAAAGGTGAAAGGGAACGGCTTGATTCGAAAAAACTTTCTCCAATTCGCATAAAAGTTGATACGCTCGTTTGAGGTGGTTTTTGGGTTTTTCAAAAAAAGAGTTAATGCGCAAAAAGGAGATGGAAACACATTTTTGGAATCAGGTCTGATGTAACGAACAGTATTTACCTCACATGTTGATCAGCTGTTCCCGCTGTCTGTCCGAAACCGGTCCGGTACCAGAGCGAGTGCAGCCGCAACTCGCAGCTGGAACCTCATCCCGCTGTCGGCGTCTTCTCAGTTAATCCCATAATGTGAAAAGAATGGCATTACTTCCTCTACGTCTCCTGACCACATGTAAAATCGCCGAAACTAGTTGATGACAGAATAATTACAACTTTCCCGACAGTAGCAACACGTTCCTGATAACTTCTCTCCATTTTCCTGAGATGCCACTTTTACTTCCTGTATACTACACGCATGCGTCTGACGTAACTGATTCGCTTCAAGCCAGTTGATGGAAACACGTCTGATTCGCATTTCTTCGTTTTTTACATTTTTGCAAAAATTTAAAAATTTGCTCAAAATTCGAATTAAAATTGGGTGGAAACATGGCTAGTGACTGTCTACCAGATGTTTGCTAGGTTTTTACCTGCTGATTACTGTTTACTAACATTTGCCATTTGTTTAGAATACAAACTGTACATTTTACTTCTTGTTGGCTTTCTGTTAGTATACGCACAGTAACTTGTTTACAGATCATCTTGTGTCAGTCTTGAGTATTTTTCTTACTGACCGACTGTTTGTAGCTCAGACACACTCATGTTCAGGACGGAGAGGCTGGAGGAATCACTCAGCAGATCGGAGCCACAAACGTCCCAAAGGAGACTATTGAAGAGCAGACCAAGATGGTTAAAAATGTACGATGTCTCACTCTTGTGGGTAAAAGCAGTCATTGTTTACATTTTTTGACTATAGATATTTGTGCAGTTTGTTAGAGAGAACCTCAAGATCCCCGGCATGCTGATCATTGACACACCTGGACACGAGTCCTTCAGGTATCGGTCCTAACCAACCCATATTGCTGCTTGTCCTCTGTAACCTGTCTAACTGTCTTTGTCTCTGCAGTAACCTGAGAAACAGAGGCAGCTCTCTGTGTGACATCGCCATCCTTGTGGTGGACATCATGCATGGCCTCGAGCCTCAAACGATTGAATCCATCAACCTGCTGAAGGAGAAAAAGTGTCCCTTCATTGTTGCACTCAACAAGGTTTTTTACCTGCTCACCACCGCCCCTCATTGTCATGCTCTTCTGCTGATTTTAACAGTTGTTTCTTGTTTCTCATTAGATTGACCGTCTGTATGACTGGAAAAAGAGTCCGGACACAGATGTTGTAGCCACGCTGAAGAAGCAGAAGAAGAACACCAAGGACGAGTTTGATGAGAGATCCAAGGCTATCATTGTAGAGTTTGCTCAGCAGGTGTGGAATGTAACTGCATCAGTAACCAGCCAATCACGTCTTGCTTTCATTTCCAGACTGATAAAACTATTCCTGTTCATTCTCAGGGTCTTAATGCTGCCTTGTTCTACGAGAACAAAGACCCTCGAACGTTTGTGTCATTGGTTCCCACTTCAGCACATAGTGGAGACGGGATGGGAAACCTCATTGCCCTTTTGGTCGAGCTGACTCAGACCATGTTGGCCCGCCGGTTGGCACACTGTGACGAGCTGCGAGCTCAGGTCATGGAGGTTAGTGTCCGCGTGTCGACCCTCTGAAAGCATCTGCACGATTCAGGCGATCACTGTCCACAATAATCTGTGTGTTTTCAGGTGAAAGCTTTGCCCGGCATGGGGACCACAATAGACGTCATTCTGATCAATGGTTGTCTGCGGGAGGGGGAGACCATCATTGTCCCGGGGGTGGAGGGACCAATTGTCACACAGATCAGAGGCTTGCTGCTGCCCCCTCCTCTGAAGGAGCTCCGAGTCAAAGTAAAACTCTTCTCTTTCACTTCTTAAATAAAATATCAGCTTTTCTGATTTCCTGGCCTGTTAGAGCTGCAAATATGTTAAACAATTTAAAGTGTATCAGGACGAGCGGACGTGACAGCTAGCTTAATTTGACAAACTAACATTTCTGATGGTTCTAAACAAATTATGTTTTGTAAAACGTAAAGTTTCATGACAGACACAATGATTCATGACATATTTCATTTAAAACGAACAAGTCAGCTCAGTCTGGGACTGACTCCTTTTTTTCTCCCTGGATCATTCAGGACACGAAGCTGTTTACCGCAGCCTCGGCTGAGCTCTGTCCGACCCAGACAGCGGAGCTAGAGGAGGGAGAGAGGGAGGGAGAGGGAGAGAGAGAGATAGATAGATAGTTTAGATCAGGAATAAAATCTGCTGGATCGATCGATCTCTAGTTTAGATCAGGAATAAAATCTGCTGTCTGCCCGTTTAGATCAGGAATAAAATCTGCTGTCTGCCGGTGTTCTAAACACACGTTCTTGTTTACGTGTTTCTGCAGGACGTACAGCGGGCTGGGCTTCATCTGTCCGCCTTTCATTCATTCCTGAACACTGTGGCAATGATCTATATTATAATAATAGTAGGTTTAATAAAAATTGATCGTTGAGCTGTGAGGCTGTGTGCGTGTTTTAGTCCAGATCAAAACTACGTGACAAAGAAACTTTTTAATTTGTTTAAAACAGTATTGAACCAGAAAGAGGATCTATGACTAATTTAACGCAGTTTGTTTTATGACTGATAAGAGGCAGATGTCCAGTGTGAACCTGCTGGTTCTCCATTAAAACAGAGAGCAGTGCAGGGCTGTCATCAGATGTTTCTTTCTCCACACTTTGGTCTTTCCATCACTCTGGTAGATTCATCTTGATCTCATCAGTCCATAAGATTGTCTTAACTTTTGCAGCTCATCTCTGTACTTCTTTACAAATGTCAATCTAACCTTCTGATTCTTATTACTGATGAGTTGTTTGCTTCTTTGTGTAAGGCCTCTATATTTCTGCTCTCTGAGTCTTCCAACAGTGGAGTGTAGTACATTCACCCCTGAACTGTGGAGGTTGTTGCTGATATGTTGCTCAGTACACCAGTAGTTTTTTCTTATTCAGGACTTTCCAAATTGTTGTGTTTTCTATGCCTAATGTTTGTCCAGTGACTGATTGATTTTCCTTCAAATGGCTTGCTTTTCTCCCACAGACAGCTCTCTGGTTTTCATGTTGGTTTATCCTGTAATACCTACTTTATAAGTTTAAACAGGCCAAAAAGGACTCTAGTCATGCAGAGCTATTTAATGTTTGAACAATCAACCTTAAAGGCAACACCTGGTCAATAAGAAACACCCATCAGTCTCATGTTCCAGTAGTTTTGCTCACTTGAAAAATGAAAGGGGTTAAACAAAGGGTGAATATGTTCTGAGTTGTTCATTACATCTACGTGTACATACAGGAAATATATTTTTTCTCTTGTCTCATAGCAGTTTTAATCCTAAACCCAAATGTCTTCAGTGAACAACAAAAATAAGTGAATTTGATTTGCTGTTCCAATACTTTTGGAGGGGACTGTGGATGGTACTCTTTCTGAGTTAACTTTTTTATCTTTTAATATGTTTGTGTGTAGAACCAGTATGAGAAGCACAAAGAGGTGTCAACATCTCAGGGAGTAAAGATCCTGGGTAAAGATCTGGAGAAGGCTCTGGCAGGGCTTCCGCTCCTGGTGGCTCATAAAGAAGATGAGATCCCTGTTTTAAAGGTATTGTTCATGGTTGCCTCCATTTGTCTTTTCTATTCATCGTAAAGTGATTTCCAGTTCTAGTTAAAATGGACTCTTGCTGTTTTTCAGGATGAACTGGTGCGGGAGCTTAAACAGACACTGAGCTGCATCAAACTGGAGGAGAAAGGAGTTTATGTTCAGGCATCCACGCTCGGATCACTGGAGGCTCTGCTAGAGTTTCTGAGAACGTCCAAAGTCCCTGTGAGGACAAGTTTGTTTACCTGTTTTTTTAATTTATTCAACCCATTTTTTTATCAGTAATAATGGTAACTTTTAGTGTTAGTAGCTACTTTTTTTACCAGTCTTGTATACTTTTCTTTTTATGTGTATGTAAACACTAGGGGTGCAACAGTACATGTACCCGTATCGAACAGTGCTTTAGGTTCAATACAGATTTTTAAAATATATTTTATCAACTTGTCTTCTGAAGATGCTCTGTGTTGAAGGATCTTCAAGTGGATCTGTGTTAGACTACTCCACCTAGGCTGCATTTTTGAGCGCAGATCCACTGAAAATCTTGCTGTTTCAGCAACATTTAATTTAAAAACTGTACTTTTGAAGTTAAACAAATGTTCATAATTAATTTAAATAAGTTACAAGTTAAAATAGGCATGGAAATTTCTCTTTATGTCGAAAAAATATCGAACCGTGAGATTAAAGTATCGAACCGAATCGTGAATTTTCTGTATCGTTGCAGCCCTAGTAAACACTGTTATTGTCTTAAATCATTTATCATATTTGACATTTGACTCATTCACATTTTAGGACTGAATTATTAATTGTCTTCATGATTTATAAAAAATACCATGACTGAGAAGGCTGCAATGGTCACATGACATCCAACACAGCATTGAGTTGTCATTTAACATGAAAACTAATAATACTGGCTTAAAGAAATAAAACATTAGCTTACTGGGGTGACCTGTTTGTTGTAGAATAACTTCAGGTTCAACAGAAGCTAATAGTGTTTAGATTTTATTGTCCATCTATTCCTCTCCTTTTAATTAGTCATATTTTCATGTTGCTTTCTTGTTATATTTTACGTGCCCGTTTAATTTCCTGTTTGCCTGTTTTTATGTTTAGTTATTCACTCAATTGTAACCTGTTGTTACGGCAGCTGTTGAGCCATTTCAGAAGATTGTAATGACTAAAACTAAAGAAATCAGCTGATAGTTAGGGTTATTTTTGTGTGTTCCCGCAGTATGCTGGTATCAACATCGGCCCAGTTCATAAAAAGGATGTGATGAAGGCATCGACCATGTTGGAGCATGATCCACAGTACGGCATTGTCTTCTGCACAAACAGCAAGCTCAAAAAGGGATTTCAAGTATTTTCTAAATCAGAATCTTTAAAGGTGAGAGGTATTTTTGTTTCTCTGTCGTTTGACAGGTATGCTGTAATCCTGGCGTTCGACGTGAAGGTGGAGAGGGAGAGTCAGGAGATGGCCGACAGTCTGGGTGTTCGAATCTTCGCGGCTGAAATCATCTATCACCTTTTTGATGCGTTCACTAAATACAGAGAAGACTACAAGAAGGCCAAACAAGAAGAGTTCAAGTAAGAAAGCTCAAATAACATCCCTTCTTCTAGTGCTGGGCGGTATACCGGTTTGTACCAAAAAACAGTTTTCAGGGTTATACAAGACATTTTTTTAACCCGCCCGACATGAAAGGTTACCTGCCCGAAACAAAACTGTCCAGATTTTATAAAATATAATAAAAATGTGTACTGTACTTTGTACTACAAAAAATATTAACATGGTTACACACAGAGGTACATAACATGACATCTGATTAAGCAGATGCACTCATTGCAGACTGAGTCACTCACTAAGTCAGTCAATTGTATTATCACAAACATCTTCAATAAACTTTTTTAGACCTTTCCAGTAGGGCTGGGCAATATGGCAAAAAAATGATCACGATTAATTTTTTCATATCGTCCGATCACGATTAATATCATGATTTTTTAACTTAAAAAGTGACTGAAAATAATCTTACAAATAAATAGCTACAGAAAAAAACAAAAAAAACAATGGCTATTATTTTTTTTTAAGAAATCAGGTCACATTTGCGACTAAACTGGTCGCACTCTAGAGCCCTGCTAGCTGTTGTTTTGACAATCTGAGGTACGCAAGTGAGCTTCATGACATTCCATCTGGTGCACCTTTTTTTTATCACGCATGCGCACCTGCACACCGCTTATGTGCAACTCTGATTATATTCTATTTACAACACTATACTAAAACATGTACATCTTGCTGTTTATAACTGTCCCTACATGTCCAACGTGTCTCCACTATCCCTTCATGTCCAGGTGATACAGGCAATAATTTTTAATGTGTAGTATCTCTCTTTGGATGGTACAGAAACATAATCTTTCTGTGAAAGGTTGTGGTAAAATATGTTTTCCTCATCTGGGGCCAACCTTCATTATTTTAAATTTCAAGTTTATTCTTGTCATTTCCAATTCAAGGTTTCCAACTTAAGATGAACTGTTTTCTCAGGAACATCGCCGTGTTTCCTGTAAAGCTGCGCATTCTTCCTCAGTTCATCTTTAACTCCAGAGATCCAATTGTTATGGGTGTTTCTGTGGATGCTGGGGTTCTAAAACAGGGAACTCCACTGTGTGTTCCCAGTAAAGGGGTGAGACTCACTGACAAAATATCTTGTAGTTTTCTTTGTTGTTGTTATTGAGTTCATCCTTTTAATTCAGTGTGGGTTTGTTTGTGTCTCAGTTTGTGGACATTGGTGTGGTCACCAGCATTGAGATGAATCACAAACCTGTCGATTCTGCCAAGAAAGGTCAGGAGATCTGCGTCAAGATTGAACCCATTCCCGGAGAGTCACCCAAGATGTACGGCCGCCACTTTGAAGCCACCGATATTATCGTCAGCAAGGTAAAGACATGCTTGTCATCGTTGCTTGGATGTTCTGATGGATTTTTCCATATAACCAGTTTCCACATCATCGGACGTATAAAAGAGAGTTTTAAACAGTAATTATTAGTTCATTTTAAAAAGTCAGGAATGGAAGAAATAAGTAATGAGAAGCAGAGAGAGATTGTTTTTATTCATTTATTGTAGGCAATTTCAGTGTGTGTTGATA